TGAAATTTTCATTTGTGAAAAAATATTTAACATAAAATCATTTTACTCATCATTCTTATTTTTTTATGAAACATTGTTGGATTCTAAATCTTAACATGTTTGTTCCAGAAGGTAAATGAAAAAAAATATATTGTTTTCTTTATAAAGTTGTGGAGAAAAAATACATTAAAGACTTTGAATCTTGCAATAACATTTTTTTTATAAAGAACAAAACATGTGTTTCTGGAACCCCTCCCCCAACAAAAAATCAACTGTCTGTGCCTTTAACACATGGGCAGAATTCTTTCAAATACCAAGTAAGAATGTGACTTAGTTGGTTTTTCTAATTCAGTACAGTATTCCATTTATAGGCTACTTACCAACATTCATGAATTGTAAAATAGCAGAACACAATCTCGGTCTATATCTTTATTCAAATATACAAATTTTGAGACAGGAAAGTGATTCATTTGTAATATTATTCTTTTAAATTGAAATAATTATGTATTGTATTGTATTATTTCAACTGTTTAAAAAATACAGAACATTTTTTGTATAATTTTATTCTTTTCAACTTTGGCAAATAAGGGGAAGCAACTCATATAACCTTACTATAATAACAAAACATTTTTATGAATTACACCACTTTCCGCAAAATATATTTTTGTATAGTTTTAGTATGTTGTTCATAGATAGTAACAGACTTGTTTTTCAGAGAAAAACTTTGTGTTGCAATTAGTTGCAGGTTGTTTACTAAATTGGCTAGACTACTGTAGGAATGTCCCGGATTATAATGAACAGGTGTGGAAATTTTCTGTTCATAAAGCATGGGATTTCTATACATATTATAGTAAGTTGGTTAATAAAAAATAATATAATATAATATAATATAATATAATATAATATAATATAATATAATATAATATAATATAATAATAATATAATATTAATATAATATAATACTTTATAAAATGATTTCATATGATATTAATGTATATATATATTCAGGTTACGAATGTTATGGGTACATGTAAAAAAAAATCAATTATTAAGGTAGCACTACAGCCTTGTAATTATTTTTTAGTAAAATTTGTTCTATCACATTTTTTCTAAGTATTTATTCATCTGAACATTTTTTCTAAGTATTTATTCATCTGAACATTTTGTAAACATCCAAGTCATTATCATGTCACAACAAGGAGTAAATTAATAATTAAATTATGTAAATAAAAGCACATGGTAAAAACTATATATAAGAGCATATAGGAGGAGCTAATCATTCATTCATCTGTTGATACCAAGTGTCCAGCTGTTAATCTCTAACCACAAGATAAATAATGTTGTCTTAATTTAACTATGGTAAGCAAAGAAACTATGAAAGACAAATTTATGAAATGTGTATGAGTAGCTTTGAAAGCCTCTGACAAATATTCCTTCAGAGACAAGAATAAGTTGTACCAGCAACAGTGACATTCATAACAATCCTTATTTTAGACAAATCACCTGGATAATAGTGATTTTGTTTATGAACTAGTACTTTTATTATTTACTATTATTTATTGTTTTCGTGTGTTATGGTAAAAATAATTAATCACCCAGCTCATTAATTAGATTTTAGCTGGGTCAACTTAATTTATACGATATATTTGGTTTACTGTTTGATTTAGAAGAAACACCGACATAGCTAGATAATACTATTAATTGTCTAATTACTACCACATTTTATATTAATTAGTATTGTAATTTTCATTGTTATTAATAATTGTTATATGAGTATTTTAAACCAAATCTTGAATTCTATCCTAATTCTATCCTATTTTGGAGAAATTTCAGAAATTCAAATGTGACGTCACTTTTTTTGTGCGTTGATCTCTTTGGCTAACTCGGCTGTGAATTTTTATGTGCTGGTTTATGTTGTTTTATGTTTCCGTTTTTATTCTGTAGTTAGTCACCACTTCGGTGTTATCTATTATATAGTCATTTGTATAAATCTACTGTTTGCAAAAGTATGAATTATTCTAAATACTAAGGATTTTCTTATCCTAGACATATAACCTAAGCCGTATTTGGCACAACTTTTTGGAACTTTTGGTCCTCAATGCTCTTCAGCTTTGTACTTGTTTTGGCTTTTGAACTTTTTTTATCTGAGCGTCACTGGTTAGTCTTGTGTGGACGAAACGCGCGTCTTAAATTTTAAACCTGGTACCTTTTGTTAGGTATTATTCGTATGTTTTTCTGTCCTATATGTTCTCCAATTTATTTGTATTGTAGTCCTGTCATGTAATGTTGTCATTTTAATGTTATATTTAACATTGCCATAAAAGCGGGAGGTTTGGCTAGCCACAAAACCAGGTTCAACCCACCATTTTTTTCTTAAAATGTCCTGTACCAAGTCAGGAAAATGGCCATTGTTATATTATAGTTCGTTTCTGTGTTTGTTACATTTTAATGTTGTGTTTCTGTTGTGTTGTAGTCCTCCTCTTATATTTGATGTGTTCCCCTCAGTTTTAGTTTGTAACCCGGATTTGTTTTTTTTTTTCAATAGATTTATGAATTTCGAACAGCGGTATACTACTGTTATTTATCTATTTTATAGAGGACAGATCTACATGTAGTATGAAACTAATTTTTGTTGTACCTTTTTCAGTTTCAGTGTCTTAGTTAATTTCACAATACTATATATTTCTTTTTAAACATGAATGATAATTGTTATTTCATAGTGAGAATGATGTTAAGTATTGATTATATGCAGCTGGTTACTATCAATATTCTTTTATCTGATACTGTCTTGACAGGGGAGGAGCTTTGGCCATATTTAATTACTACATTACAGATATTTGTCAAATCTGTGACGTCAAACTCCCGCCATATGCTAAATTAGTGTTGTTGAGGTATGGACAGTGCACAAATTATGCAAATTTACAGTTTAAGTGTATAACAGACACAAACTGTGTGGTTCTAATAATAAAATAATGGTACCAGAACACTCCTGGGGTGTTCCCAGAGGAATTTTTATATTTATGTTGCATTTATAGGGGTAAAAAGGGGAATTCAGTTTTTAGGTGATTTTTCAAAACAATTTATCATAGGAATTGTTATCAAAGAATGAAAACAGAAAATTTATGGGTACCCCTTTTGGTTTGGCTTTGATATATGTGATTAAAGGGAATATTTTCTACAAAACTGTGTCCCAAGTTTTGTATAATTTGTTTCTGAATGAATTTATAGCTGCCCAAAGATGAAAGGTGAAATGAGGTTTGGTACCCAGCAGTTAAATCAATATACCTTCTAGTTAGAGGCATATATCAAAATTCTGGGACACAGTTTTGTAGCTCGTGTATGGTCAATTGAAGGGATGCATCATATTTTACTATCATTTGACCTGAAAGTGCTATTTTTATTCAAGTTGGGAGAGCACTTTTTATGCAGTTAATGAGCTATATATTTTAATTGATCATACCAAAAAACTAAATTACTCTTAGATTAAGAACGAGTACTATTTCAGCTTTAAAATGGGTTAATGATTATAAAAATCCTTTGAGTAGTTAAGAAGAAATTAATCTTTAAACACTGTTGGTTGGAGTCAGAAAGGTCTGACTGTATTGCTACCTTAAGGTTGCAATTCTGTAAATATAGACAATGCAATTTATTGAGATCTTTTTGTAATTCTAGCTTGTACTTTTTAATGCCGCGGTCACAAAAAAAAAAACACATTTAGGTGTTACGGCTTACTTTTGGGTTATCGACAGGACAAAAATAACCCAACAAAATTATTTAGGAAGGATCAATGAGTTGCAATGACTGCGAAGAGTAAATATAAGCACTTCTAAACAATTTAAATCACAAATAGGCATATATTATGAATTTATTTTAAATTCAGGGCCTCAAGTAAACCATGCATACTGTAAACTGTGAATTTATGCTGAGTCATCATAGCTAAGGCTCGGGATTTTCTCAATCTTCATGAAAAATTTATAAAACTTCATATTTGAGTTAAATTCTTTAAAATCTCTGCGATAAACCAGATTTTGTGAAATTCTGTATGTTCTATTTTTTAACCTTATATAGGTTGCAATTCTGCAAATATAGACAATGCAATTTCCCATAGGAACTCCCCTTGCGGCTAAAACTGCGACACTTTTACTATGAAGTTTCGTGAAAAATAATATCGCAGAGCGGAAAGTTTATTTGCACTACTATTTTATTCAAAGGTCAAAATATAGGGCTGTGCGGCATATTTTCAACATTAATATGCCCTGAACTTCTATATGTTTAAACTTACACTAAAATGCTATACAACCCTTACCATCATATTTGGACCTCCTAAGAATTAAAATTTAGGCGCTACCATGTTTTTCTGTACTGGTTACATTCCCAAGTGATGTCTCTATGAGATGAAACACAGAGATCATAAATGGGAACCAGTACCTTATCAAATTAACATATCTATGAATATTATATATCTCCCCAAAAGAGGCGTGGTTTGAGAAACAACTGTATTTACGAAGTGCAACCTTAAACAATGAAACTATTATAATATGTATACATATTCAGGTTACGCATGTTATGGGAACATGTAAAAAAATAAAGAACAATGATTGAGCAATGATTAAGCAATGCAACTATGTATAGTACCTCTTATTTGACGTTAACCAGGTTATGCAAAAGCAGTCGTTTTACGATTTTGGTCTGAAGAAATACAGCAAATACATCGTAAAGAATCTAATCACTATTCAAATGCCTTAAAGGTTCGAAGAAGATTTCTGTAAACGCATTACTGATGTGCATGACGACCAATTATAATGATGTTCATCATGTTTGTGCAGTGACGTGTTGATTTGTTTTTTAAATCAAAATTATTAAATTAAAAATAAAAAATAACATGAACCGTTTAAATGTCAAGATTCTGTATGTTCAATTTATTTTTGTTTTTAGAACTTTATTTTGTTTTTCCATGACTAACACAAATGAAAGTATTAATACTCGAACATACAAACAATCCTATAATATATTTAACTCACCATGGTTTGACAAATTCCTGGAAATGGCTGTCTCGACATATTGCTGAACCTTTTTACCGAGATCGTTACGTCCTGCAGTTTTCAAATAGTTTGCCAGTTTTTCAACGTTTTCGGCTGAAAGCATACATCTTTCTTCTAATAGTTGTACAAGATCTGTTCCTGTATTAATTTTTCCCAGAACACCTTTTCCAATACGATCTCTTATTAGAAATTTAATGGTCTTGATATTATCTATCAATATAAGTTCAATTAGTTAGACGGTTAATTTGTAACGGAAGGGATGTTGCAATAATGTCTTAATTGATCTTTTTATGATATTCCAGTAATGTAGAAAATCATGTTTTTGTGAAAAACTACCTTTATATTCGAAATGACAATCTATAAGACACCAGTAGCAAGATTTGCTTATCCTTCCGGAGGACCTGAAATCCCCTCGGTTTTTGGTGGTGCTCGTGTTGCTCAGATTTTTTAGTTTTCTATGTTGTGTTTTGTATACTGTTGTTTTGTCTTTTCGTCGTTTTTCGATTTTTGCCATGAACTTGTCAGTTTGTTTTCGCTTTATGAGTTTGAATGTTCGTTTGGTATCTTTCGCCTCTCTTTTTAAGTAATCTTACTATTAACAAAAATCTTTAATCTTAAATCCGGCCCAAGAATCAAATAATACAAATATCCTAATTGGTCTACCAGGCCTTTTCTGCTAATTCTTTTCTTATATCAAATGTTGTACGCAATTCTGAATACGTTTAATGTGCTATACCAATTACGAACATCATGCAGTAGACTTTCCTCCTGAGTTTTGTGAATGTTCAAAAAAAGAAGTTTCCAAGAATGACCGGAACTTTTTGAAATGATCCTCTGACGTTGTTTCTCCTAAATTCGATTTCCGTGTGTTGCAAGTTAGTATCTGGCCTTATTTTTGGGCCTCAACTTTGAACTAACGAACTTTTTCGGTGGCAGACTATGCAGAAAAGTATAGTAATAGCATATATTTTTTCAGTTTATGTTTCCACCAAATACATCATCCACCCTTTCCACCCCATCCTCCAAAATAAAACCCCCCAAAAAACAATTACAACAACATCAAAACAAAGCAAAACAAAACATCAACAGAAAATAATGAATTTAGATAATCTAAAAACTCATTGACGAACAATATGTAAATAAATGTCGGGAAAAAATGAATGCATTGACTAAATATGCATTATATAATAGAAATACCTGTACAAAACAATTTGAGAATAAACTGAAAATTTTATATATCTTGTCTAGAAACATTTAGGTAAGCCCGTTCAATCCAAATAATTTCCATTAATGTCCATTCACTTGGAAGTGCAGTGGCCGATTTATGAGTGCAAGAAGTCATTATTTTTAAAATCAACGGTATTCAAATATCGATAAGATTGTACTTTTTCTGATTTGAATTTAATTATGATGAGTTGTTGCACTTTCAAGGATCGATATGAAAAGGGGTGGTAGGGTGGGATCCTCTATGAGGTGAGATGAAATGCGAGGCCAATCATAGTCTTTTCCTGTACCCAGACTTCATGAAATTGGGTAAGATTTCTTTATAATAGTAAACATTTTTCTTTTAACACTTTTTTTTCAAAATATAGTAAAGCCATAAGTCGACCGTTACAAATTTTGAATAAGTATGTTTTAAATCTCGAAATTTCGGAATAAGCAGTAGAACAACTCATTGATGGAAAGGAGTAAAGCCAATACAATTATTACATACGTGTTCTGATGCAATGTATATACCTGGAGATAATCCTAGTGCTACTTCCGTTGTCAAAATCCGGTAACTGTCAAATACAATTGATTCCATGACGTATATAATCCGGAGATGATGTTTACATGTGAAGGCATTGGTCGATTAGATCTACTCGAGATGCAGATGAACCTGTGATGTAAAATCCGGGTTTATCTTTCGAAAAAATTGTTGTTCCTTTTTTAATATTTTCATGAGAATACTAGTCGTATAATTGGTTTTATAACATTTGTTGTATTTTGTATGTAATAACAACTATTCTATATTGGTATAATTTAAGTAGGTTTTCAATTAATTATAGATTATTAAATGGCATTTCCATATCGGACCTAGTATCAGCCCGAGACTCCCATATCGGACCGAGGGCCCGATATGGGTCGAGTGATGATACTAGTGCCCATATGGAAAATACCATGTAATGATCTATGTATCACTTATTTTATAGCTAATGAAATTTAAACGAGAACATAGAATAAACAATTGGAAAAAAAACTATGCATTTATTTCATTTGATTGCTTTTAATTTGTGTTTGTTTGTTCTTTTTGATTGTTTTTTTCTTTTCTTTTTATTCCTTTTTTTTTTTGCATTTTATAACATTTCGATAACTCCTCAATAATTCCCGTAACCACAACTGGTATTCTCCGACAATCAACAAAGATGTATTGTTTCTAGCAACGACGTCATGATTTGGGATGTCATTTCAATAATAAAGATGAGTTTATTTATTTGAACGATGCGCTGTTCAACATTTTTATAAACGTCAAGGTTACTTTTAAGCAAGTAAGTCTCAAATATTGTACATGACTTTTCAAACTGGAAGAGGTCCAATATGGATTTTGCACGCAAGGGCCAATATGACTCTCCCTTTGAGATTGCATGGGAATCCCATATTGGCCGCGGTTATTTACCCCGGGCAGCAATATGACTTGTGAAAATCAGCTTTTATCAGATATGCAAAACACAATGTATTTGAAACAGATATGTGATTAAACAGCATATTCACCTGGAGAAAAGTGATATTCACCGCGCTAAACGTCACGCACTTTTACATGTAATGTTATGGTAAAATGATTGATGAACAATTTGTTTTGGTTATTATTTGTCATTAAATACATTGCTTTCTCTCGGAATATTGAATAAAATAATTACTGTCTTTTGTTTCGGTAAATATGTGGTTTAATTGACTTTTGAAAAACTGATATTCACTTCAGCCGTCGGTCTGGATATTCTAATGTCATTACAATGAAGCATTCATGCAGTTGCAGTAAACATCACACATCTCATTTAATATGTTTGTTCATTTCTTTGTACATCGTTATCTATACCGCAAGCTAAGACAATATGTGATTTTATACAGCCACAAGCCAATCACTTTACCAATTAATTATTCACTGACTTTCATAGTTTTTAGAATGTCGATTTGAGGGTATGGTTAATCATGTGGTTAGTCAGATTTTTTTTAAATTAACGTCCAAGTGCTAAAATAAGAGAAAAGGACCGAATGTGAAAGTAAACTCTGCTAGGAGCACATAGCTACCTATATAAAAGAGGGACGAAAGGGACATTCAAACTCATAGATCGAAAACAAACTGACAACACCATGGCCAAAATAAAAAGACAAACATACAAATAATAGTACAGATGACACAACATAGAAAACTAAAGTCTAAGCAACACGAACCCCACCAAAAACTGGGGGTGATCTCAGGTGCTCCGATAAGATACATGAACGAATTCAAATAGAAAACGGGAGTTATATAACAAATTTGATATCATTATTCTCGTGACAATAATTTTCAATTATACAATTTAAAGAAAGTTTTTCATAAAATAATATTTTCATATAAAACGCAGTACATACCTACCTTTTATAATAAACACTCCGTAGGATGAGGCATTTTGCGTGAAGAACCCTTTCAAATGATTGCATTAATCCAACAGAAAATGCTTATAAACGATACTTACTTATTTCGTTTTTTACAGGAAGAAGGACATATTTAAAATTTTTAATGTACACTGAAATAAATCAAACAATGCTTACTTACCTCTATAAGTGTCATTGAAATCACTCTTTTGAAATACTATTTTTTATTTCGTCAATTGAATTGTATGTTGATAAGGAAGTTGACAAAGGTGTATTCATTATTATATTTAAAGGTTTGTACATATCGTTAAATGAACTTAAAACATATGTAAATGATGTATACTTGTATATAAAATCTTAGTAACAAAAGATATTGCAAATCAATACTAAAATGTCGGGGAAGATGCTTGTTGGGTTTCCATTCGTTGTATTGGTTGATATAGTCTAACTTTTGATTTTGTCAAGTTTCATGGACTTTCTCCTTTTTGAATTTACCTTGGAGTTCGGTATTTTTGTTAATACTTTTATACATATACGTTTGTAAAGAGTTGTAACGCAAGACTATTTTCGCGTCATATTCCAAAATGCTTTCTAAATCTTATTGGTACCATTGTTTTCCTGAACTTCAGGATTTAAAAGATAGTGTCCAATATTCATTTTTTTCACTTACGTTTAGAAGTTTTAAGCTGAAAATTTTATCGTACGACCTCCCACAATGAAAACAACTCATACCGTATAGTCAGCTTATTAAGGCATCGACATAAAAAAGTGTGAAACAATTCATACGAGAAAAATAACGGCCAAGTTATACAATACAATATACGAAAAACAAATATGACAGACATGAACAATCGACAGCCACTGGATTAAAGCTCCTGACTTGGGACAGGCACATACAGAATGTGGCGGGGTTAAACATTTTTGCGAGCGTTCGACCTAACCTGGGACAGTGGTGTTATAGTACAACATAAGAACAAACTGTAAAATTCATTTGAAAATGACTTATCTCAATACATCGGCACGAGGCACAAATTAACAAACAATTAAAAAAGAACCGATATAAAACCGGTTTAGGTTTACCAGTAATGAAACAAATCAATAGTTTTAATTTTGGTTTGTTAAATTGCCCAAACAACGCTAGGAGGTTTGGTAACTTTTTTTAGGAATCAAGAAACAAGTATAAAACCAGTTTCTTTAAATATAGTTTTTATAGCAAAACATTGAAGGTTCATCAAACCTACTAGAAAACGAAACGAGTTTATAGGCCACTAGTACGCACTTAATTTAATATAAGTAATTGTTTTATTCACTAAATACAAACTGTTCCCATGCAGTTTTGTTTGCCCTCTTTACGTACTAAGATAAAACAAAAATATATATACCTGGAAATTCTACTGTACGCCAGCCAAAATAATGTAATATCTTGGAGCTCTTCCATCAATTTAAATCAAAACCCAAAACTTTCTTGACGGAAGAAGGAAGAATTTGCATTCAATGACTTTGTACTGCTAACAAAACAAACAATGCTTACCTAATCTGGTGATTAACTTTCAGATTGTAATTTCCAAAATTAAAAAAATGTCATGTTGAATATTTTACAAAACAATTCGCTAAAACACATGGTATTATCAGATTTATAAAAGTAACAATGTTCATAGTCAAAATTGAAACATACCAAGTTAATTAAACAATAATCAGAATGATTTATTTAAATCCAAACGATATATACCAAGATATATATAGTTTCAGAACAAAACTTTTTGATTTAAGACAAGAAAAAAAATATATAGGAATCTTCGAATTCGTCAGTGATAATTATGTCTGCCATCTTTAATATCTAAATTTATTTTCCAATTGTAAAGAGTATGGAACTGTCTTATTTACCAGACTTTGTGCATTTGATGCTTTCCACAAGAATGCAAGCAGATTTTTTTGTATATGTTAACGAGACATTCGACTTTTGTCCCACTAGACGTCGTAAGTACACACCATCACTCAGTTATTTCAAAACTACATATAGTCAACTGATATAACAATCAAAATAATAACTCAACAGCATGGACGTCGAATTTAAATAGACAAGGGAAGCCTTTGAAACATATGGTAATATCAGACAGGTGCTACCTGATGAGACCACGAAGATTGTTGGTTTTTGTACAAGTGGAATTTGCATGGTTTTTTGACTTATCGTCATTTATTGGTATCAAGATATTATTCAAATTCTTAGAAAAATCTATGCTCCTAAGATACAAATTTGAGGGAACCAAGCGCACCTTGATGACGTTCACACAAAATTCCGAAAAAAGCTAAATCCCGTAGAAATTTTATCGCCGCCATAATGTTAAAGTTTTATCCGGTTCATAGTGTATAGACAATTGACCATTCTATCATTGTTACAAAGTTAAGAAATGAAAACAAAATATTTCTACTGTTACACATAAGCAGATACTGTTACGATCATTAACCTTTTGGTGGTTGTAGTACTTGTTGTTCTATTTCTTCTTCTTTTTTGTTCTCATACAAGCTTCTTTGTCCATTTCTTTAATTTTTATATTTTATATTACATTGACTTGTGATATTTGACAGGAATGTGTATTACCATAAGACTGTACAAATGTTAGTCGCATATCACTATGACTTTAAACTTTGACCGTAAGGTTGAAATAATTGGTTTGTTGGGATATATTCTTGTCCGGGTACTAACTTGTCTATCCTTTTCATCAGACGTGTGATATGTTTGATATATTTCCATCATTCAGAATGATGTGTCACATATCATTTTGGGCTTCTGAACTTGACCATTGAAATTAAGATACTTTTATATTTTCTTATTTCGGAAAGTTTTAATATCTACCCAAATACTTATATATGCTTGCTTACCTTTGTAATTCCTATCAGTGCAACTAAGGGTTTCGACTGGTGTAATGACTAACCCAATATATCATTAATTGTCAACATCTAATAAATGATTCAAATCCCATCCCTAAACTGTATATATTCTTAAGAACTATGTCAAGGACCTTCTCAGTGCAACTAGATGTTGTCCTGGGGAACATGTTCAGTGATTGTTAAAATTCTTGGAAACCGTTTAGCTCCCAATTCTTAAACGAAGTTGAGTCGTTATTGTTAGGAAGAGATCTTTACAGTGCACCACAGTTGTTGTTCCTGGATGTCGTTTTCTGTCCTTATTTATTGTAGATTGTTAAATATATCAACTACAGGTTCCAATGAGACTGTATTGATTACTTAGTACCTGTCCTTTGGATACAATTTATATAATGTAACAATAATAATTGGTTTGAATGTAAACTGTGTGGACCAAAACTTTGTCTTGCTGGTCGTTTTTACTGGTCAGAGTTTGGTCTATTTATTATAGTTTTAACGATAAATGACAAAAATGGAAAACAAATGGTTAAAATTGTGATTTAGAGGCAACTACATGAGTTGATTGACAGTGTACACCTCCATGGCTTTCAAATATTTACGTTTGAGCTTTCCTGATGAAGGTAAATCTTTAAACAACATCTAATCACACAAACACTGTAGCAAATTTTTTTAAAATTTAAAGTTGAATAAAGATTAAATTGTTAAAATTTTGCAAAGTTTTAAGGAAGAACAACTGTCATTTTTAAATGATGCAACTTTTAATATTAAAAATGCTGTATATGTGTCCTCTGCTTGGGATAAAGACAGTTGGGGATACTTAAGTAAAGAAGAATTAATTAACTTTATCTTAGTCACAATGTCATTCATATTAGAAAAATGGAGCCATATGTGAAGATTTGAATGTTTTTCGTAACTTTGTTATTATTTATATTAGCATTTCAAGTTGTACAGCAACTAAGTAAGTTTAGCTTTCATAAATCAACACAGGACACAAGCTCGAAAACCATGTCTCCGATTTCTAATATCATGTCACTATTACGTAGACGTTCCCTTGACCGTTTAAAAAGCAAATGTTCAAAATTATTTCATTTCATGACTGGACATTATATGATATATAAAAAAAATATTTTAGTATTGTTTATTGTATATGATCTTGTTGAGGAAACATACATATATTTAGCATATCTTAAGCTGACAACAACGCTTATTGTAGAATTAGAATGGTGCAATAGTCTTCATTTCTCTTCCAAATATGAACATTTAAAAACATTCAGGTCAGTGTGGTTTTACCGACATTTTTAAATGCTTCCTGTCCCCATTTCCTTCATTATTGTACTTCATTTGTCCTATATTTTTTTTAATTGACAATGTTAAAGCTATTTAAATATGATATCCCTTACATTTCCTAAATAAGACGTCTAATGATCTACCATAATATGCTAAGATGGATAAAGATAAAATCGTTTAAGTTCTGTAAACACGCAAACTCAGCTGACACGTTTCAAAAATCATAAAGATATACATGTATATACGAAATGAATTAAGGAAGTACGCATATGTATACATATGTTTAATACTATATCATATTAATCCTGTATTGTGTTCAAGTACAGTCGTATTGGGTCGAGGTTAGTGTTATTGGATCGAGGGCCAATACATCTGATCTAGCCCTAAAACGATTTTACGAGAACATACAGGATTGATATGAAAGCAACTATTTGATGACATCTTTATTAACCAATGAATTAGAATAACTTTCAAAAGCTGACTTAGGATAAACATGACTGAAGAATGACTCATACAGGATCAATACAAACTATTTGGGTTAATTATCATTTTAATGCAAGGAATGTTGAATTTCCTTAAATATGAATATTGTGCGATGAATAACCGTTATATTCATCGGTAAATTAACCCTTTGAGTCCTTCGAATTTTACACGAGTTATCTCCTATCAAAATGGCATCACTGTCGTATGTAAACAAATGCCAACGGCCAGGTTGAAGTCCTTGTACTGGAGTGACGAAGAAACAAGTACTAGTATTTGATATCCTTCTGGTGCCGAGGATAGCTTCCACAAACGGCCTTTTTCAGGCCACCAAAATTTTTACAGAAAGAGTCATTTGTTGTACATAATAGGCATTTTCAGCCACAAAATTATACTCTGACGTAAGTGCTTTGACAATTTGTTACTGCAGTAAGACAT